AGTGTGAGTGCATTTGATTTAATTCGAACCGTTTCATTAGTCCACTGTGAACTGTTCGGTAATTTCATTGGTCTGATGTGACGAGGCAAAATGTATTGTCGGCACGAAGCTCGTTAGCCTGTAAATATCCATAGATTAGCCGCATCGTTGTTTAAGCCGCCGGGTTCAAAGCTTGTGAAAAAAGTAGGGGCTTATAGTCCGGATTTTACGGTATTCTTTTTCTGCTATCCAGAACTACTGCTCTTGTACTGCTGCTACAACACATGCACGACATTCAAACTGCTGCAAGAACTGGATGCTGTATCGGTGTCAGGGCAGAGATGAGAATTTCAAACTATTCTGTTGTGATTGACATTTAAATAATAATTACTGTATGTAGCTGAGGCAGTGACAGAACCTATACACTGACTGAAACCTGGTAATAGTTTCATTGTGGTTACATAATAAAAGCAGAAAATGAAACGGAAAAAACACAGTGAAGATCCCTACTCTTGGTATCGTTCTGACTTCCAGGTGTTTTTTTTTTTCTCGTTTCTTTTTCGAAAGATTGTCTTTGTACATTTGCACATTGCTTTTCCTACTTGAATTTAGACATCACAGTTGCATAACGGTAAATTACGAAGAACGAAGAAAATGACCTGGACCTCCTCCACACTTACACTGTTGCTGTCTTGTTGTAAAGTGAAGTTAATGGTTGTGTGTGTTTTATTTTTTTTTTAGTTGGTCTGATTTTCTTAACCATTGCAGTTAGTGGATACAAGAAAATAAATATGCTAAATGATCCTGTAATTTCAGAAATTTTTCCTTATTTAACCAGTTAGTCTTTTTCACAAGAATAACCTGGCCAAAATTTTACTGTAAAATACAGTTGTTTAGCTCTTGGAGCACTATAACTCTATGGAGTATTTGGTTAAAGCCTGTAAAAGGACTGACCAGTCCACTTGTTTGTGCCATGAATTGTAAATGAAAACTTCTGTCAGTAAAAGGACAATGTCTCCCTCTTTTTTTTTTCTTACTTCTGTGACTGTTTTGGGAATCAGAGCTACCTTCATGTATGAGCAGTTCCCAGAGGTGATGAACATGTTGTGGGCTCGCATGCTGAGGGACAACAAGAAGAACTGGAGGAGAGTCTACAAGGTCTGGCACTGTTCTGTACTGTTACACCCCACCCACCGACCCACAAACACATAGTTAATCATGACATGAAGTGTGAAGGCTTCAGCACTAAGTACAGTTTTGATGATTAATAAACTTTTTGACCAGACTCAATTTAAACCAATGTGGATTTGGTTTTTGGCTTTACAGGCAGGAGTCAGGTATCAACAACAAACCTTAATAAAAAAAAAAAAACTGGAACACTGGGGACCAATTTAAATCCTTTTTTATATATTTTTAAAAAACAAGGACAGTTTGCCCTGAATAAAAACAGTTGGATGTCTGACATTGTTTAACATGCTCTGAACTTAGGGAAAACAGTAACTAATCCATAATAACTGATCCAGTTTGAGTTCAGTGAAAGTCCAAGCAAATTTTGCTAGAAGTAATGATGTGCATATTTCTTTCAGGCCCAGCTACTGCTGGCCCATCTAATTAGGAATGGATCAGAGAGGGTTGTTACCAGTGCCAGAGAACATCTGTATGACCTCAGATCATTAGAAAGCTACCACTTTGTAGGTAAGTTATCATTTCTCTGTGTATATTTTCTCTCCTTTATATTATCTTTCCCTTCACATGTTGGAGGTGTAGTACATACTGGGGCTGTACCCGCCAAAGGATTTTGTCGACTATTCGACTATTCATTCTTTTTATCTTTTTATTTTATTTTATAGTAAATATATAGCCTAGACCAGGGGTGCCCACACTTTTTCGCCTTGCAAGCTACTTTTCAAATGACCAAGTCAAAATGATCGACCTGTGCGCGCGCACACACAAAATATATGTATAAATGAGTGTCGTAGTTTTTATGAACAATCTGAAAGTGCCACTCCACATTTTCCTTCTTCGGAATAGTGATGGTAGACTGGTAGATCAAGCAAATGCACTTCGAATATAAAATTGCGGGAAAAAAAAAGTCCTCCTCCCCATGTTTTCGGTACGTTTTCAGTTTCGTACTTGATTCGGCCCCTCCACTCATTTTATACCCTTTAATTCGAAGGCTGACAAGGTAGTTTACTCACTGGAGTTTTGCAGTAGCTTGTGCGGTTGACTGTGCATGTTTGGTGACTCGTGTGTCAGAAAAGACGAGATCTCAGATTGGCTGCCCTGCATGTCAATCAAGTAGCAAATGCCATAGGGAGGATGGATGATAGGTTATATATGAATGACTGTCACTTTCTGCTTTTCCTGTTAGGGGTGGCCACAGCAAAGCGTCACACTGACCATTCGCATGTTAGCATTTGGCACATGTTTTACGCCAGATACATCTCATTTATTTTTGAATGGCACGCGATCTACCAGCACTACCTTTGCGATCGACGTATTGGGCACCCCTGGCCTAGACTGTCAAAAAATCAACCGGCATGAATTTCAGCGATGATTTTGGCCAAATTAACATCAGTATCTAAGTGACAGGACCATATTTATTAGCTTTTAAAAATCCATAAAAGACAGCAAAATATGATTATTGCAGTTTTGGATACAAGAAAATAAATATGCTAAAGGTTCTGTCCGAGCAACATACATGGATGTATTGAACATCCATGTCACTATTGAAGTAGGTATCCCCCCCCGACTACAGGGGGAAGTATTGTGCAAATTGCTGCTTGGCACATCAAAATGAGGAGAAGAAGATGACAAACTACTGGCTGACGCTGCCTTCTATTGTAATACTCACTGGCTGACAAAAAAATTAAATAAAATATAAAAGGCTTGACTAGAATAAAGATAAGAAATCAGTAAGGGGGCAAACACTTTTTCACACCACTGTATATAAACAAAACACCTATGATCAATCATTGAATTTTTTCCAAATTGATTATGTGAAAAGTAGAGTTGCATTGCAGAAGTGTAATAACAATAGCTTCAGTGTGAGCTGTAGTAAATGAAGGCCCTAAGCCCTGCTTTTGCCACAAA